TGAGCGAGTAACTATTTTTTTATTGTTATTGCCGTTATCAACAGTATCACACTTTGCTCTATTAGATAAAGAGTCAAAGAAATCAACAAGAGCACTTAAATTTGTGTATGCATCGTTTAATAATTTAATTTGCATTTGTCGCATTTATATATAATAGGGGTATTCTCTGAGTCTTGCAAAGCCCTTGCATGGTGCACAGGTTGCACGGATTGCACGGTAAAAACCGGTTTTCGTATGAGACAGCTTTGCAAACCGTGCACCGCGCAAGGGCTTTGCAAGACTCAGAGAATACCCCTAATGTTTTTGTTGCCATTTAGTAAGTTTAAACAACTCGAGTCCAATTTAGAGCACTTAAAATGCGTTTTTTGTCCACAAATGCCACAATTTATTTTGCCAGAACTAGCACACTGAAGATTGCATTTAGTACAAAGTGACATTGTTAATAAGTTTTTATGTATTACACGAAAATTTTACAAAAGATGTGGAGCAAAGAAAAAACGTGTCTGCACACGACAGCGAACCAAAGTCGAATGAAATATAAATAAATATATATATATATATATATATATATATATATATATATATATATAAATATAAATATAAATATCCGGAGTAAGTGAGCTGCGATTTGAACCGTAGCAAACGAATTACTTCTGGCCACTCCCAGGTGAATGGTAAAAGCTTTGCAGTACTGGGAAATGTACAGAACATAGTGGTCCAAGGCGAATATCTCAACTAAACCTTTATGCATTTTTTATATTACATACCTGTCAACCAAATAACCGGACAAGACGTTATCTATACATAGTATAGAGGAAAGTCGTGATTCTTTGTACGCGGTAATCTCGAAAACTATTGAAGGGATTTTGACGAGATTTTTTCTAATATATTCTGTATCGATAGGAGAGTGACCTTTTTAGCTTAGAATTTTAATAGGGTTGGCACCTGTTAAGCAATTTACTATATTAAATTCTAATAAGCGTAGGCGTCAGTTCTGCACCGTCACTGTCAAATGAAAAGACTTAGCCTCTGGATGTGTAATAATGTATTATTTTTCTGAGTAGGGTTGCCACCTATATAAAAACTATAAGATCTTCACAGTTCGTTGAATAAAAAAATGAGATACCAAATGAAACATTTATAAAAACTTAAAGTTTTTTGAGTAGGGTTGCCACCTATTTAAAATTACTATCTTCTATACATAGTATAAAGAAAAGGCGAGATATTTTAACCACGCTACTGAACGAATTTAGATAATATTTTTTATGTATATAATAAACGAAGTACATGATGACATGATTTCATTCTCCAAATGCGTAAATGTACATACATATGCATACATTCAGCGCGTAGCGAAGCCTCGCGCATCCATGGCCAGCTAGTTCTAAATAAAATATAATTAAAAATACCTCTGCAATTTTGTAAGATACACTAAAAATGTAGACATCGTTGAGAGCACCGAAATATCTTTTCTTAAATGACATACATACATATGTATAAATAAGTATGAGGGCTTATTCAAAATTTTTAGTATGCAGGTTATTTGGTATATTCATTTATGCAAAATATATTAATTTTTGATTTTGTCACACCGTTTATTAAATAAAAAATTCATTAACGGCCGTTAACTTATCTATTTTAAAGTATATTTAAACTTAACTACAGAAAATTCTGAGTAATTTTAAATATATATATAACCACCCCTAATGTGCTATTTTTATACCCGAGCGCACTTGTGCACAAGGGTATATTAATTTTGTTCACATAACGGTTGTTTGTAACAGCCAAAACGAATCGAGATAGATATAGACAAATGTATACATAAATGATCAGAATGAAAAAAGAAATCGATTGAGCCATGTCTGTCTGTCCGTCCGTCTGTTCGTCTGTCCGTCTGTCCGTCCGTCCGTGTACACGATAACTCGAGCAAAAATTGAGATATCTCAACGAAACTTGGTATGTAGGTTTCCCTTAATCCAAGGTAGGTTGGTATTGGAAATGGGCGAAATCGGACTGTAACCACGCCCACTTCCCATATAACGGTAATTTCCAAAAATACGAAAACTGCGATATTTTAGTAACTACTGAAGATAATTCACTCAAAATTGATATTTACAATAATTTTCAGACGAAAAATAAGAATATTAAAAATTTTTGGAAAATGGGCCCACTTATGGTTACATGTGTATATCTTGGTAACCGCAACACCAATTTTTTCCAAACTTGGTACAGTTGTTGGCCTTGCTATAAGATACAAAATGGCCGAAAATTTTAAAAATCGGACAATAACCACGCCCACATCCCATATAACGGTAATTTAGAGAAATACGAAATACTCGATAAATCAGTAAATATTGAAGCTAATTTATTCAAAATTGATGCTTGCAACAATTCTTTGCCAAGAAATACGTTTATGGTAAAATTTTGGAAAATGGGCGTGGCACCGCCCACTTATGATCACATATATGTATATCGGTAACCGTTCTACCAATTTGTACCAAACTCGGTATGGTTATTGTGCTTGCCACATAAAAGCGTAACGTTGAAAATTATTGAAATCGGACTAAAATTACGGCCGCTTTTCATATAACGGTTAATTTCAGAAATGCTTGAAATTTCAATATTTCCAAATTTAAGGACGCTAATTTACTCAAAATTGATACACCCCGGCTTACCATCTAGCAGTAGGTTTCGGAAAGGTGAAAAAACATATATTTAATACTTGCGCCGGGTATTTAATGTTCGGCTCCGCCCGAACTTAGACTTTCTTACTTGTTAATTATGAAAATTTACAACTTATTTTGTCAGCATTTGAGTACATTTTTTTTATATAGTACATACATAGGAAAAAACTTCAAAGTTTTGGGGGGCCGAGACTATTAAGCTAGCATTTCCTGGTACTAAATTTGGAACTTGGGGGGGGGAAGGGGGGGGGGCGGGCGAGCCCCTACCTGACTACGCCCATGCACACTACCTTCATCTTCGCGCTCCTCATTTGAGCAGATGGTACCTCGGTCTGAAATGTCCTGTCAGGTATCCGGGTTGCAACTTGCAAGTCCTCCCATCCCTTAGGAGATCTGCTGTGTATCCTATCGATAGACCAAAGACAAACTGAGGCGGATCAGGCTCCGTTGGACAACGCATTTCGCTAGAGTGTCAGTCCTGTTGTTGCCTTTGGGGCCCTCATAGTCCGGAACATACCACAAGCTTACTCTGTGGTTGATTCCTAGTACCGTTTATTGTTGCCTTACTAGTAGGGACGTTAATTTTTCGGCTTTTTCCGATCCCGGGATTTTTGGGATGACGTTATCATAATCCCGGGATCCCGGGATTTAGATATTCATAACTTTTCAACAACATAAATGGAAAAAATTGCTTCTATATTGTTTGAGAAGCTCTCCTACCATGAAATAAAAAATAATAAATGGGTTTGAAACCTACTTTTTTTATTTAATGTGGCGTTTTTATTTTTTCATTCTGACCGAAGGATTTATTTTGAAGGAATTTGATATTTCAAAGGTATGATTAATTCCAAAAATTGTTAAAAAAATGCAATGCAATGTAGAATAAAAATATGAGTAACGTATGCAATAGGAAATTTCTTTAGAATTTAAAGAATTTAGTTTTTTTGGATTCACAAGGATGCATAGCTTATTTGTAATCTGATAAAGTTAACGAACGGAACTCGAGGATGTTATCGAGTTTATATAAGCCCTTAACATATAATTTTTTCAAAAACAAATATTGCGAAATTTCAAGGATACAATTTTAAATTACATTTTCAATATTTACCAGCGCTTCTGCACGAGAAACTTGAATCTGTTTAAATTCTACAGGATTTCCTCATTAGGTTTATACCCATACTTCTTCAATAAGCACATTCCTCTGAATTTTTTAAGTCATATACTGACGTCAGAGTGAAAAACTAAAAACGCAGTTTTACTATATTTGACCCATGGTTTCGCAAATATATTGATATTTGTGTTTAAAATTTACTATCGCGCGGTGTTATATGTATAATGAGTTAGACATTTATAAAAAAATATTAATTATTAAATAAAAAAGAAATATAGCCAATACTGGTCAAGAAAAGGAGTTTCTATTATTGCCATCAGTGCAAATTACAAATCCCGAAAATCCGGGGATTACTTGCCAAGAATACCGGAATTTTCGAGACCTTACAAATTCCGGGATCCCGGGATTTACATTCCTACTCACTAGTCCTTCTGGAATATAGTTGGGTATATGCCCATCGGGATGCTTTTTTGAAATCTAGGGCAACACACATTGGCCACAGTGTTCCCCTCCTTAAGCAGGAAGCATTGAGTTTATGAGTTGTAGTACGGGATCATTTATGAATGGTATTAGGATACCCAAATGACCAGTTAAGGCCCCACTTTTAAAGATACTAAGGTTGGACAGTCTGAGGGCGCTCTTTCCATATAAGCTAGAGGCAGTATACCTGTGATGACTCCAAGCGCCTCTGTCGGGCACGTGCGGTGGCTTGCTTGGCTTTTGGCTACCACGCCACTGTCGCATAGGTTACAATCGATTATATCAATGTACTGAATGACCAATACTATATTTTCGGGGATATTCCCCAAATTTTAGCATGGAGAATTCGACAAGCGTAAAATGCCCTCTTGGCTTAATTTGTAAGCGCTGTGAGATGTGAATTCCAGTCGAGTCCCGTATCTAATATTACGCCTAGATATTTCACCTCTTGTGAGAACTTAATCTCTAATGGCGTTTTCTTTTCTCGAAAAAAATTTCACCTTCTCATATTCTTATCAGGGAGCAACATTTTAAGGAAAGAGCACGCAATATGCATGTGAAGATGCTGAGGAAAGAACACGATAACTTCGCAGCCCTGGCGCAGGGCATAATAAAAACAACATTATTTCGAGAAAAGAAAACGCTGTAACACGCTCAATTTGGGTTTGGTCAAGTTGACCTTCCTTCTTTTGGTAATTGGGACGTCTAATGACTTCATTGGGTTAATTGACAGGCTCTTTTGAGCACACTATTCTAGAGTTATTTTTAGAGCAGACTGCATCCTTGAGCATAAGGTCACCTCATCCCAGCCTATCACGTAGATAACAAGGTCTTCAGCATATCCGTATGTATTAAAGCCATTCCCTTTAAGCCTCTCTAAAACTTCCTCCACCAGTGTCCACAGTAGGGCATACATGTGAACATATATGTATGTATATTAGACTGAGTCAAACAAAATGACTATTTTACGGTTCCATATTAAAATTTCGTTGTTGATGACAAAAAATATATTGTGGCAAAATTTCAGCCCCGTATCTTAATTTTCCAGTTAGCCCCGCAAAAACAAGAATTTTCAAGGAAAAACATTTTGGTGTATTTTATATGATTAATTAAGTATAACAATGGAAAACCAGTAGATAATGAAGTGCAAGCTTGAAGTAGCTGGCCTTCCGGGTAATTTTTGGCAATTCGATATTTTTTTGCAAGATCTACGTATGTTAAATTAGAATTCAGCATTGTTTTTTCTAGCATATCGACATTTATTTTTATTAATGACAAGGATATTTTTAAATTCGCAACGATTTTCATGAAAAGATAAAAATTTTACAGTCTAAAATTAAATTTTTAGTTAGAACACAAAAAAATGGAAATTTAAAGTTAACGCCTGTAGAAAGTGGTTACACTTACAAAATTGGAAGAAGTAAGTTTTAACAATTTCCATAAGAAAAACAAAAGTTAAGAGGTTTGCCATTGCTCCCGAGGGGCGATCGCGGTTAAGAAAGGTAATAAAAGGACATTCAAATACCAAGTTCAACAATTTATCTACCTATACGTAAAAATGCGACTTCGGAATTTTTGGAATGTATTTAATTAATAAAATTTGTTAACTTATCAATATATTACATATCATTTATATCTTCTTTTCGGAAAAATCCGGGACCGAGAAAATACCACTGACCGACCCCCACGTCTCTGTAGTAGGTCTTATGTATATGTACGCATGTATATCCCTCTCAGCCAAAGCTACAATACGCACATACATATGTGCTTAGAAATCGTAAAAAAAAAACAAAAATAACGTTTTTGTGTCAATTTGTCAAAAAACCCCTCCCGCAGGAAGTACTATATTTAAACTGTCCTCTTTAGCACATTTTTGTTCCTTCAAACTTATTTATAAAATTTAGGAAAAAGTTAATTTCTACCGTTGCGAATTTCGTCGAAGTGATGATTTTTATTAAACATAATATTTAATCTAAACTTGTAATATTTGTTTGCAATTTCAGTTAGATCCATTAAAAGCGGTGTGACAGATTTTGTATAAATCTGGATTCGAAATAAAAATGAGTTAGTGCTTTTTTATATTAAGGTTGCAATATGTACATAGAAGAAGCGCCGATTTTACGTTCGTAGTTTCTATACGGGTATCCACAGATTTGAGAAGAAGTAATTGAAAATATCGACCCCTAACCACCAAAAAGATATTGATAAGCGAAATTTTATTTTTGATGCTGAGATACTCCTAGACATCTAGATGCATTTCAGCATAAAAAAAAAATTTTGAAAAAAATTTCGCTTACCTCATTTTGGCGGTAAATGCTCGATATGTATGCACATACATATTCATTTTCATTAGCCTTAGTAATGGCACTTCTTGTAAAATGTTTGCTGTGAAATTTCTTGGTTAAGTAATCTTAATAATTATCCGGAATCACATTTACCAACTCAACAATTTCTGTAGGCAGGTAACAATTATGTTGATTTCTGTTATTGTACCTTTAATGTGTCCCAACTCTCCGCATATGAATTATAACAATTATACTGCAACACTGCAAAACAAAAAAAGTTAAAACGACAGCAGCAAGAACAGCAGCAAACAACGCAATAAAACATTGTCGCTTATGTTTATGTTGTGCAAATGTGATTTCGCGTCGCACGAGCACCCACCCCATCTATGTACTATGCAGATACATATATGCATGAATATATGCATTGCAATGTTTACAACAAAAAAATATGCTCAAATATTCCAATGTTTGTCAAATTGGCCAAAAACGCCGCAGCAAAAGGGTTGCTTACCAACGCATACAATGACATGACTAAAAGCACAGGTAGTCTAGACTTAACTTATCGTAAGAAATAGTGAAAGATTACTCAACGCGTCCAGAAGCGAACATATTTTGTTTTTGTTTTTTCTTTTGCAGCTGATTTAGAATTCGCCATTTGTAATGCCACATCAAACAAAATTCATGCAATAAAAAATTGTAGCGTGCACTTATTTTAAGATATACAAAAACGAAAATTTGGCAAGGCTGTCTCACCGCTCTCAATTTCCGTAAGGCCATAACTTAAGAATATGAAACCTACAGGTTCTTAAGTTTCTTACTGTAAGTAAAGTTTTAACTAACCGTCAACACAGTTTCTCATAAAACAGGTTAGCTAAAATATTAAGTAAAATTATGTTACGAAAATTAAGTCTAGACTGACTGAGCTTAAACTGATATTACAATCTTTATTGTTGTCGCTGTTGACCTGTTTAGCCTGGGCATGTGTTGTCTGTGCCGTGCCACACAAACATACATACATACATACATATGTATGTAAGTACATAGCTTAATACTTTCAACTGGAATTTGTTACCAATCTATTTGCTAGGACGTATGGAAATATGAATGATTTTTGAATTGCCCTCATAGGTAGGCAGTTCAGATAAAAAGGGCGTCGTGATGGGTTGCTTGCTGTGCCAGTGACCTAATTAATTGTGGAATTGTAACAGAGATATTTGTACCCATTAATAGCTCTTATTCGGTTTTATTGGTTAAAATTTAGCTAAGAATTGGAATTTGTTATAATCATCAAACAACCAAAATGCATGCAGGAACGACCTTTGTTATATGCGTCAATCATCACAGTACGCCAGCAGAATTTATCGTCGTAAGCAACAATAATGCCCATTTTTTCCTGAGTAATATTCAATTAACAGCATGAATATGAATTATTACTATGGCTAAAGTATAATGCACAACACCACTTTTTGTACGAAATGTGCAACATCTGCAAGTGCATAAAAAATATACATATGCATGTCGCTGCATGCCAGTGCTGACTGTTCACCCTAATCGCGTGCTGCACCCCAACACTTGTTCGACCACACTATGTTGTGCTGACTACTTCACTGCAATGCAGAGACAACAATAACAACAACATTATGAATTACAGCAGCAACAGTAGCACACTACATAACTTGTTTACATCGCAAACTAGACGTCACAAAAGCAGCAAAAAACCAAGTGGAGTTTTGCAATCGAATGGGAGGAAGGTAGGAAACACGTTGCGTTGTCGGCAAACTGTCTTCTCTGTATATATACATACATACATATGTAGTTGGCATTCAAAATGCCCGCAGATACTCTCCTCAAGTTTTGACCACATTTTCTTTGCCTGTGCCTAGCAGTTTTTAAAGTTGTATCCCCCTTTTAATATTTGTAACATGGTAGGTATGTGTCACATATGAATGGGAAGTGATGCAAGCAAACAGAATGCTGGACATAACCATCCTGTTCTAAAAACCTCGTTCGAGTGTTTGCCTGAAACTTAATTCCTGCTCAGTATTGCCATATTCACAGTTTTAAGTAACTGTAAATTACTGACAGGCTTAAAGCTTGTTCACATTATCGTAAAATAAATGAAATAATTTATCATAAATCAAGAACCAAATAAAGAAAAAAAAAAAAGATTTTTTATTTATTTTAGCTCCACTGTTAGGGAAATTTGAGAAAATTCCTAAAGCAACGCAACCATTTGGTTTTTGAAATCAAGTATAAACCACATATCGTACATACGAGTGCTGTGAACTTACTTGTTTTATGTGAAGTAATTTGATCGAAACAAAGAATTTATGCTGTAATGTGAATATATGTAGTTTAACAGATTTTCAAATTACTTCCTAGTACAAATTTCAGTTTTTTCGAAATTTCGAATAAATTAATAGCCAGTTTTTTAAAACAAACAGATCGTTTTTCCTTTGAAAAAAGTGGTTTCAGCTGCTCTTTGTATTTGAGTAGCTACAAATGTTGAAAGAATGAGGAATCAATTGTATAAAAATTAACAAATTAATTTACGACCAATAATCAAATTGAATTTCATTGAAACCAAATGTGGTTTAAATGTTCCATTTTATATATTTTTGTTAAGAAACGTATGGATTTTCCAAAAATTCCTTGGGTTTTATAGGCAAAATTTTTTTTTCTTAAGATAATGTGTACTTTTTGAGAATTCATAGTTTAAAAAAATGGCAACACTGCTTATGGTTGACAATTTCGTCAGCACAGAATATTGGTGTGTGTCGGTGGCCGACTGTCGACAGACGGGGACCAACTTGCA